CCTTTAGCATAAAATTTAGACAATGAACAAACTTGAAAGACAGAGGAGGAAAAATAATCACAATGCAAGTGACAAAGAGTTAAGTCCCCCATATGAAGAGCTACAAATCAATATGGAATTCTTTTGTATATTTTCTTTTCTGAAAAAGGTAGAATATCCAAATAGCCAGTTCATACCAGAGGAAATACAAATGACCAATAAACAATGTAAACATATTTGAGCTTACTATAAATCACAGAAATATAAATTAAAACAAAGGGAAATCGTTTTTTACATATAATATTAGCAAGAATTAAAAATACTGATGTTACTTAATGCAGAGGACAAATAGAGAAACAGATTCTTTCATATCCCATTGAAAAGAATGGGGTGAGAGGGCAGGGGGGAGAAATGACCCAAACAATGTATGCAAATGTGAATAAATGAATAAAAAAAAGCAAAAAGAATGTAGGTTGATGATTTAAAAAAAAAAAACTATTAACATTTATATTTATACCTTTTAAACAATCGATCCTGGCTTTCTTTTGAATAAAGAAAAGATTAATCTTTAGGTGAGTGGCTGATTTCAACGTATCCTGAGATAGCTCCTGGCCTCCATGGGCCACTTTGATCTTAACAGAGACTGACCACTTGTGGAGTTGGGAAGTTTAATTGTGATGCTATTCTTCCTCCTGTGGCCATGGCTTATATCTATCTGCTACCTATCAATGTGATTCACTTTCAAGTTCAATTTTTACAATGTTGAAAATATACTTCTGAAGTAAAAGTTTGCTATTCCTTGATATTTTGAAGATGATTTACATATGAGACAATAAACTGGCTTTCCAGAGTTTAGTTTCTATGTTCATTTCCTAACACTATTCAACTTTTAAGTTAAAAGATGTCAAGTTTAGGCTGGGTGCCAGTGGCTCAGCCCATAATCCTAGCTACTCAGGAGGCAGAGATCAGGAGGATTGAGGTTCAAAGCCAGCCCAGGCAAATAGTTCCAAAAGACCCTATCTCAAAAAACCTTTCACAAAAACAGGGCTGGTGGAGTAGCTCAAGGTGAAGGCCCTGAGTTCAAGCCTTAGTACTACAAAAAAAAAAAAAAAAAAAGATGTCAACTTTATATTTGGTCTTTGGGAGACTAATAGGTCTACCTGAATAAAACAGGATTATGGATTCAGTTGAATCTCCTTGCATGAAAATGAAGTACAACAATGGGCACATCCACTGCTTGAATAACAGACATCATGGATCCATTACTTTCAGGTGGTTATGGATCATCAGGACCCACTATTCTGTGGAGCTTGTTAGAAATGAGAATGGCAGGCCCCAGACCTGCTGAGGTGAACTCAGTGTTATAGCAAGATCCCCCAGAGACTTGGATGTAACACAGGTTTGAGAAAAACACAATCTGAGATTTTTGTAGTTTCCTAGCTCCACAATTGTTTGACTCCTTTTTTTCTCCAGCTAATTGTGCTTTAGGGAAAAGCTGAAGCTGAAGGAAGAGGGAAGTGTAAAAGGAAGGTAGTCAATACTAACTACAGTGTGGTTGTAGTAGGGAAACAGCACAGGTTGGCTTGCTTTGGCTGAAGGAATGTATTCCCTTTTGTCTTCTTCCTCTCCTCTACTTTTCCAGTCCTTGGCACATATATATGTCAAACTGATCATCACATGAATGAATGATAACAAATCAATACTTTTTTTCTCTCAAACTATTTGCCTGGACTGGCTTCAAATCTCGATCCTCCTGATCTCTGCCTCCTGAGTAGTTAGGATTATAGGCATGAGTCACCAGCACCTGGACAATTTTTCACATAATGATTTTTTTTGGCCACACTTTGAACTCAAGGCTTCAATGCTTGCTATGCAGGTGCTCTACCACTTGAGCCACTCCACCAGCCCTTGTTTGTGTTTGGTATTTTTTAGATAGGGTCTCAAAAACTATTTGCTCAGGCTGGCTCTGAACTGCAGTCCTCCTGATCTCTGCCTCCTGAGTGGTTAGAACTACAGGAGTGAGCCATTGGCACTCAGCTGATTCATTTATTAAGAAGGGGTTTTGCTATGTTGCAGGCTGTCCTTGAACTCAAGACCTTCCTGCTTTAGCCTCCAGAATGTTGGGATTACAAACAGGCAGCAACATACCCAGCTGAGAAGCAAGAATCTTTTTATGACCTAATACAAAAAGTGACGACTCCATCACTTCTGTAGTATTCTACCTAGAAACAATAAATGCAGTTCACACTCGAGGGGAGAGGATGATACAAATGACAATCACCAGGGTCATCTCAGAAGCTGCCTACAACAGTGATGAGGCAATGCTTATGTGACACTCAAGTGTTACTCAGATTACATACTAATTACTGAGACATTGCTGCTAGTATTATATTACCATCACTGTTATGTTAGTGACCGAACTGTCAGAGACAGCTGGATATTAAAGTGGTGAAAAGTTAACTACTGGCAATAGGGGAAGGAGCTGAGCTCCATTTTGTATTTGTCCAAAGGTAACTTGGGCATTCTAAAGGGAGAGGAGGAAGGGGGCAAGCCAGGTCTCAGTAGTCAGAGAAGGAAAATATAGTACAAATGGTTGGTAAAAGTAAATGCAATGAGGCCAGCTCTCTGCTAGCTGGCAGTGATCTAAGTTAGGACTCCATTCGCCCACAGAGACTGGGGGATGGAGGCCCTATCTTTCAAAAGAATGGCTCAGGACTTTCCAAGACATACCTGAGCTGCAACAGATACATATTTATAACTGTAAGATTTTTAGTTAATGCTCCAAAGAAGGGCACGGGCCTGTCATCATGTGTGTATTGGCTAGAATAAGTAGTTCTGGCAGCCTTGAGTTTTCTCAGACATTTTATGGGGGCCTGGTTTCATTGTAGGGAACACACGTGCATCATGTTTCCAGAAGCTATGCTGGGCTTTGGTCAAGTCTCGTAGTATAGGGAGAGTTGTCATGTGCCAGCCACTAATAGTGGAACTTCCTGATATGGCAAAATATGAATTTCATATTACCTCTGAAATAGTCGTGGCAAATATGTTAATCTGAAATTAATCTTTAGACTTAATACTTAATTTTACTTTATAGTATATTGATTTAGTTGAATATAATAAGTAAAGTGGATGGATGAAAGTTACTAACAACATGAGAAAATAGCCAGGCAACTCCATTCTGGAGTAGAAGCCACTTAAAAAACAACTTTGCCAGACTTTTCAAAAAAGTCAATGTCATGTGGAGGAATAAAAAAAAGAAATTAATATAAGAACTAAGAAAAAACATCTAAATACAATATGTGAATCTTGATTGGCCCTTGGATTGGACAAAACTAACAAAAACAGCTTAAAAAGATATATTATTGGGGGGGAGATGGCCCAAATAATGTATATACGTGTAAGTAAATGTAAAAATGATGAAATAAAGATATATTGGATATAATAATTTTAGTATGAATAGCTATTAGCTCATATTGCATAAATGATAAATTATCAGGTGAGCTAATGTTATGATTTGGTGGAGAACGTCGTTGGTAGGGAAACCTTACAGTTAGTCTTAGGAGAGACACACTGAAAAAACTGCTGTGGTCCGATAACCATCACACAGTATGTATAAAAAAGAGAAAGAAAAATGGGGCAAAATGTTAACCACAGTTGAATCCAGTGTATACAGTGTCCATTAAACTGTTTTTTAAAAGATATTTAAAATAAAAATTATTTTCTGTATGGTTAAAAATTTTTGAAGTAAAAATTTTGGAAAACATTTCTCACTCGTTTTTTCCTCCAAATAATTCTACTGATCTTAAAACTCAATATTTGCTAATCTATCTTGGCATATAAATTCATCTAAAGAATCTCCAAAATAACCCCTCTGTTTTCTCAAGAAAATTTTTTTTACCAACTGTTAAATACATCATGTCATTATGTTTTGTTTTGTTTTGGTTTGGTTTTTTTGGTGAGACAGGGGTTTGAATTCAGGGCTTCATGCTCTACTGTTGAGCTGTACCTTGGAGATGGGGTCTGGAAAACTTTGTCCAGGATGGCCTCGAACCATGATCCTCCTGATCTCAGCCTCCCAAATAGCTAGGATTATAGGCATAAGCCACCAGTGAGGGTTTATTTTGTTTTTGGTTGTTTTGTTTTGTTTTTGATACAGGGTCTCACTGTTTAGCCCAGGCTGGCCTCAAACTCAAGACCCAGAATCCTGCCTCCTGAGTGCTAGGGTTCCAGACAGGCACTAACCAGCAGACAAGGATTGGGTTTTATATATCACTGCACAAAAACGATCACAATGAATTACTCATACTAACTACATCTGTTGAACAATAAGAAACAGAAGCCAACAGAACATCTATTTTAAATATTGGCCTATAATTTATACAGTATAGAATTTATTCACAATCAAAGACATCAGTGACTTAGATTCTTCACAATTTTTATTTTGCTTGAAAGTAGCAAGCTAAGTCTTAACTTAGACATGATTAAACTTTGACATGGTTAAGAGTACTTTTTCTTTATATAAGGAGTTTACAAATAAGTATAAATATTTTATTTTTATTTTTTTGCAGTCCTGGGGATTGAACTCAGGGCCTTGCATCTGCAAAGTGTTCTACCACTGAGCTACATTCTCAGCCCTTCATAAATCTTATATTATGAAATTTACATTTTTCTGAAGTAGTAAATGAAAAATGTCTATAGGTGGTTAAAAAAAAAGGATAAAAGAACAAGTGATCCTTCTTAAATTATACAATATTTCTCAATTCTTTAGTTCTGATTTCAACATCATAAGCTTATTTTCTACTTGGAGAGTTGGATGAAACCTAAAATAAATCCTTTTTTTTGGTGGTAGTATGTATTTGAACTCAGGGCTTCGCGCTTGTGAGGCATGCACTCTACCACTTGAGCTATGCCTCTAGCCCAAGAAATGTGATTCTGATTCAGTGAAAACTGTACCCATGAGTACTGTGTACTTATAGCATCACTTTATGATTATTCATAAAGATTTCCGTGCCTCAGTCTGCTTCTTGATAGAAGTCCATTCCTTTTGTTGGGGGTGGGGTGGGTGGCGGTACTGGGGTTTGAACCATTCCATTTATATAATAATAAAAAAGCACTTATTTTACTGATCTAAGGTTTTCATCCAAAAGTTCTACAATGGCTTCTTCATCTGCTGATTGAAGCAGTCTCTGAATTAGCTGATCCAAGGACCTCTCGCCACATAAAAATTCCTGATAAAAGAAAGAGTCAGTATAAACCTGATGCTACAGTTTGGATCTGCAATGTTCCCCAAAGGCCCATGTGGTAAATGGTTGGTCCTCCTCTTGGTGCCATGGAAAAGTGGTGGAAGCCTTTAAGAGGTGGGGCCCAATGGCAGGTTTTAGGTCATCGCTGACAGTCATGCCCTTGAAGGGCATCGTGGGATGCCAGTCTCTTCCATGCATCTTCTACCATGCACTCAGGCTAGGATGTGCTGTGCTGCCACAGGCCCAAAGCAAGGGACCAGTCCGTCATGGACTGAAACCTCTAAAACTGTCAGCCAAAATAAACCTTTTCTCTTTTTAAGTTGATTTATTTCAGGTATTTGTTACATTAAAGGAAAGCTGACTAATACATCTAATCATTGCTCTTTTTTTTTATGGCACTAGGGTTTGAACTCAGGGTCTCACACTTGCTAGACAGGCGCTCTACCACTTGAGTCACTCCTCTAGCCCCACACCTAATTATTAGAAATAAGAAAGCAGATAGTAAAGTGTATATTCATTTCATTTCTTTATAGTCATTAGTTAATAGCAACAAAGGATTACTAGTATTCTGCAATATAATGAAAATTGCTAACATGGGAGGGGTCCCTAGGTTTTAATGGCTTTTTAGGTAAAAAATGAATCCAAAAGAGCAAATGGAATTCTACTCTTTCTCACATTGTTCAAATTAGCATTTTGTTTTAGAACCAATCTGAGATTTGGATCTTTCCAGCAACTCTGGAGTAAGACAAGGTGATCTCAAATGAACTTTTGAAATTGACCAAATCCTTCTCTTTGAAATGCTTATGCTTGGTTTTTGTAACAGTCTATGTTCTCAAGCTAGTTTTAAAAGGAATTGTTTGCTGAATTCTTTCTCTTAGTTTAAAAGAAAAAAACAAAAACAAAAAACTGGGCACTGGTGGCTCATACCTGTAATCATAACTACTCAGGAGGCAGAGATCAGGAGGATCCTGGTTTGAAGCCAGCCCAGGCAAAATAGTTCATTAGATACAAGATGAAGGCTATGAGTTCAAACCCCAGTAACACAAAAACAAACAAAAAACTTTTTATCTTTCTTTAAAAAAAAAGGCTTTTTATTGTTGTCCTAAAAAATCCTACCCTTTTCATTTATATCATGTTATATTCCAAGGGCAAAAAAGACTGGAATACCCAGTCCTGCAGGTGCCACCATAATGTGCACACTGCTCCTTGTGAAATCCTCTGGCAGTGGTCCAGAGAAGGCCTCCCCAGGCCATTCCAGCTCACCCTTCTGTGCCAACCCTCCAAATTTAGATGGCTGAATCTGATCTGATAGTAGCCCCCCCACGCTGTTATACTGAGCTACATCCCCAGCCCCAGCTTTTTCTAAAATTGAAAGTGGTTTTGAAATCCTGTGAAATCAAAAAATACTTTTGTGGTCATGTTTAGGGAATGAGGGATGGGGATGTAGAGCTCAGTAGTTGAGTGTTTGCCTAGCATGCATGAAGCCCTGGGTTCCATCCCAAGCACCACACACACACACACACACACACACACAAATTAGGGATGAAGTCTCTTGAGGTTTACAATTTGCTTTTAAATGGTTCAAGAGCAGCAAGATATATATACAGAGAAGAGTAAGTGGGGAAGAAAGAGAAGTCAAATATAGCAAAAATGTTAATTGTTGATCTAGGTTTAGGTAGTATATTATTCATTGAACTAGTCTTCAAACACTGTATGTGCTTGAACAACTTAAAAAATAAAGTTGAGAGAAAACTCTTCTCTCTCATGTTTACCTCCAAAAAATTCCAGTTGTTGAAAACTATTCAATTAGACTTCTCTGTAGTCTTCCCCCAATTCCCCTCTGAAAAATGACTAAAATGATGAGTTCAAGTACCTTTCCTATATAATAGAAGTTCTGTGTAACACAATTTTTGAGATTAGTGCATTCACACATTGTCCTATTTTAGAAATGCTCAAAATTTAGACCTTGGCTTAGTGGAAATATTTTAATGTTGGCATGTGAAACACAAAGCATGAAAAATTGTGATGTAGGTATGAATTAATCTTGTATTTAATCTTTCCTGAATGGTGTTTTTCTTTTTCTTCCCTCCTTCCTTCAACTCAGGGCCTTGGGCTTGCTAGGCAGGCACTCTACCACTTGAGTCATGCCCCCAGCCTTTTTTTGTTTTAGTTTTTTATTTTGGATAGGGGCCAGCCTCAGACTGTGATCCTTCTACCTATGCCTCCTAATAGTTGGGATCACAGGCACATGCTGCCATGCCCTGCTTATTTGTTGAGATTAGGTCTTGCTAAATTTTTGCCTGGGCTGGCTCTGAACTGGAATATTCCCAATTTCCTAATCCTGAGTAGCTGGAATAACAGGCATGATGCACTGTACCTGGCCTCTTGAATAGTCTTGAAGTTGAGTGTTAGGGAAGGGTACCTCTTGAATTAAACTCTAAGGGAAATGATATGCCTTACTATCTTTGTGTTCCCCAAAAGTTCTAGCATAGAGAAAACTTTAATGCAATTCTAAAATTAAAGGGCTGGTGGAGTGGCTGCAGTGGTAGAGCTTAGCAAGCATAAGGCCCTGAGTTCAAATCCCACAAAAAATAAATTAATCAATTAAACAGAAAGCAGAAGCACTATGATGTAATCTTAAAATTAAGATTTATACCACTTTGAGTATTTTATATTGCTTATAAAATCAGTGTGCCTGAGCTCAAATTACTATGGTACTACCTCAGCAATTTCATCTTTGGAACTGACATAAAAGGGATTACCATTGTTTTGGGTGTTTTGTTTTTGTTTTTGCAGTACTGGGGTTTGAACTCCAGGCCTAAACCTTGAGCCACTCCACCAGCCCTTTTTTGTGATTTTTTTTTTTTTTTTTTTTTTGAGATAGGCTCTCACAAACTTTGCCCAGGCTGGCTTCAAACTGTGATTCTCTTGATCTCTACCTACTGAGTAGTTAGGATTACAGGCATGAGCCACTGGTGCCTAGCAGGGATTATTATTCTTACTGATAATCACATCACAGAGTTCAACTGGGCTAACCAGAGTGCTGGAGTTGCACAAAGATTAAAGATGTATGACTTATAGTTCCTATCTTTTTAGAAGCTAACAACCTAGTAGGAGAGCTAGACCAACTACATAAGCATCACAAAATAACGTAATACATTAAAAAATTAAGGAGAATTCTGCAAGGGATGAAAGGAGCTATTAATTTGAACAGGAAGATGGCATCTAGGAAAGATCTAGTTGGGAAGAAAGCATTTTAGTTAGATCTTAAAAAGAGAAGAGCATTTCCCCAAGTAGAGAGGGCATTTTAGTCAAATGAATGAGCACCAGGAAAGGCAGGAAAATGAAGTACACTTAAAGCCCAAGGCAAGGGGAAATTGCCAATGTAACTGGAATAAGGAGCAGGAGGTAAGACTGATATTAAGAAAGCTGCACAAGGACTTTAAGAAACGGAATGAAAATGTAAAAGTACACGTTACATGTTAGTCTGTGCTAGATAAATAAAAATAAGCCAGGTGTGGTGGTGTGCACCTATAAGGCAGAAGATTGTGAGTTTGAGGCCACCCTGGGTTACATAGAGAGACTCTGTCTAAAAAAGAAAAAAGAAAAGAAAAAGTTATCTACAAAGGAATACCAGAAATTCTAGCTGATCTCCCAGAACTCAAGGGCAGGAACATACAGGGCAGGGTTGCTGCTACTTTGCTCAGAATGAGACTGGGAGTCAGATATAAATGAATGTGAGACTCACACCATCAGGATTCTGCCCATTTCTCATTTTTGCTTTTCTGAGTATAACAGTTTTGTTCTTCTCTCACTAAAGATCATTTTCTCTCCATGCTGGAAATGTGGCTTCTAATCTCTTATTAGCTTTATGTATTTCTGCCTTAATCACTAAGACAAAGCATGACCTCCTTCATCTCTAGTTTATAAATCTTGGGAAGGACTCATTGGCTGGGAGTTGTCTAGATGTCCATCCCAAACAAATCAACTATTGTCAGGGTTGTGATCATGCAGATCACAACAGCTCTATTAGGAGGATTAGGAGCTACGTGGATGGAGCAGGAAGAAGCCCCTCGGTGTTCACTCTCTTCCTATCAACTCCTTCTATTGTAACAGCTCTGTCTTTATCCCTTTTCCAGCCTCATATATTCCTACTAGTCTCTTTACTTTCCTTCATACAGATTTTTAAAATTTTATTTAAAAAAAAATTACTTTTGTCTTTTCTTTTTTGTTGCTGGGATTGAACCCAGGGGCTCACACATGCCAGGCAAGTGCTGTACCATATTTTTAACAATAATTTTATAAACTTTTGGGGTACAATGTGATGTTTCCATATGTTTACAATGTGGGATGATTAAATCAGGCTAATTAACAAACATAGTTTTTGTGGTGAAGCATTTAAAAATCTATACTTTCAGCAATTTTGAAATATACACGTATTTATTATAGTCGCTATTCTGTGCAGTAGATCACTAAAAGTTATTCCTCCTACCTAACTGAAACCTTGTGCTTTCTCAATCTTCTTCCTTCCCCCTCCACACAGATTTTAATGTTTTACTACAAGTACATTTTTTTATGATATTTTCAAACTTTTTCTTTCACTAATATGGGATCTTTTCCTTTTCCTTTTTTTTTTTTTAGTGGGACAGGGGTTTGAACCCAGGGTTTCCATACTTGCAAAGCAGGCACTCTACTGTTTAAGCCACACCTTCAGTCCATTTTGTTCTGGTTATTTTGGAGATGGGTCTTGCCAACTATTTGCCAAGTAGCTAGGATTACTACGTCTACAGGCATGAACCACTGATGCCTGGCTTTTTTTTTTTTTTTTTTAACAATAGGCTAGTTTGTGGTTATTGGAGCATATCGATATAATTTTCCTTATTATTTCTGAGTCTGGCATGGTAGTTTAGTTGGTAATAACATATTAGTATTTAGCCAAAATTAGATATTTTATACCCATAAAAGCTAGTTACCTTGTCTCTGTTTCACAGCTGAATATGCTATTTTGAGCCTATATGCCCATTTAAAAGTTACTACTTGTCATAAGAATATGACTGTCTCAGAGAAAATTGTCACTACCATCAGAAAAACAACTGAAAAAACATGGTGCAATTAGAACAATGTGGTCAAAACATGTTTGGTTAATACTTTGTGTTTCCTTAGGAAAGGGAAGTTAGCAAATATTTTTTTCCTTTTTAGCATGGCTGCTATGTTCCCGTAAGACAGCCATACACTGCTGACAGGAAGTGGCATAAGATAAAGAAATTTATAAACATTTGCCTTGTAAAATCAGGACTTTAACTTTAGTTTAGCATGGGGCCAATCAAAGAAAAGAAGCCTTAGGTACACAAACCAAGGAAAAGAGTCGAAACTTTCTGTCTCCCACTTTTCCACATAGTTCTTTATGGGAACCACTTCATTTTTCCCCTTCACTATGCCTCATCATTAATGTACTGTTAGTGGTCCTAGCTAGTGTTCAAACAATCTAGATGGGTCTTTTCCCCAATAGCATAGAAGTAACACCTGAAGCTAAAGAATACACATTGTGGTAGGTAGAGTTCTAAGATGCCAATGGTGTATATACTTGTATACCTTGTGTACTTCTCTCATTCTCTCTCTCTTTGGTGGTACTGGGGGTTTGAACTCAGGGCATCATCCTTACTAGGCAGCACTCTACCATTTGAGCCACACCTCCAGCTTTACTTCTCTCTGTTAGGTGCAGACAGAACCTGTGACTGTGATGGAGTATCACTCCAATGAGTAGGTAACCAATCAGCTAACTTTGAGTCAATCAAAAGGAACATTATCCTGGTGGTCTTGACCTAATCAGGTGATCCCTTAAAAAAATCCAGAGCCAGTTCTACAAAGAGAGATTCGAAGTGGGGAGAGAGTATATGGAAGGAGCCACTTGGAAAGCAGTAGTTAAGAGCTGAGAGCAGCCTCTATCCTCCAGCAAAAGCAGGAAGGCTTCTGTCCTACAACTCAAGCTAATGGAATTTTGCTGACAAATACAGGAAGAGGACCCTGAGCTCCAGAAAAGTATGTAGCCCTATCAACAACTTGATTTCAGTCTTGTGAGGCCCCAAGCAGACTTATTGCTCAGTCATGCCTGAATTTCTGATCCAGAGAAATTATGAGATAAGGTTGGGGATAGCTTAGTGGTAGAACATTTGCCTAGAATGCGTGACCCTGGGTTTAATTCCTAGCACCACACACTACACACACACACACACACACACACACACACACATACACAAAATCATGAAATACTGAATGGGTATTGTTTTAAGCTGCTAAATTTGTGGCAATTTGAAACCTAGAAATACATAAAATATATGTATATTTAATATATTTTAGTATGTTAATACACTATTATTGCATAACAAAGAATTTGGAATTTAAAAGGATAACACTTTCAAAATTGGCATAAAGATCACAATTCTTAGCAAACTAATAAAAATGTTAATAAATTTTAGGATGCTAACATAAATTGGCTTAATGATTTTAAGTTACTTGGTCAAATCTTAGACATAACTCTCTAGAACTTGATTACACTCTCTTCTAAAGCAAAGGTGTATACAGCATTGTCAGTGTTAATTACCTTAATGTCACGAACTTCATATGCTATCCTGTGGTCAGTGACTCTATCCTGGGTGAAATTGTAAGTCCGAATTCTCTCTGCCTGGGCTCTTGTTCCCACCTATGCCATAACAAAAATCAATTCACATCATAATTTTATAATTACCTTCATGACAATAGAAAAATAAATTGTAAATGGGTTTTCTACTTTATGGTTTACATATATGGATGGATGGGATAGATTAGATAGATTTTTTTTCCTTTGGTGGTGGTGGTACTGGGATTTGAACTCAGGGCCTCATCATTGCTAGACAGCCTACCAGCCCTATTTTCTGAAAATCATATACAAAGTGACCAAGACAAGAGCAGCAGAACTTAACACTATGAGTAGTAATTTGAGGCCATTTGGAGCTGGGGAAGCAAGTGGCAGCACATGTTTACTATGCACAAAGCTACCGAAACCACAAACAACAGACTATAGATTTATAGAGCTCAGCTATGGAATAAGAATAATAAGAATAAATGTCTCTTTGCTACTTCAAACTCCGAATATTTAAAACCAAATTAATCATCTTCCCACCCTAGTCAGTTCTTCCTCGTAGTTTCTATAATGACACCACCACATGTTTCTTTTTATCTGAGCGAAACCTGACATTCTGTTCTTTTGTTGTTTTGGTGGGACTGGGGTTTGAACTCAGGACTTCACATTTGCAAAGCAGGCTCTGTACTCCTTGAGTCACACCTCCAGTCCATTTTGCTCTGGTTATTTTGGAGATGGGGGACTCATTTACAGGCAGGAACCACTAGCTCCTGCCGGATGTTCTGTAATTTAACAATCATCTCATGGAGCTTACTACATCAGGTTTGGATATAGCCTCCAGGAGGGACCATCTTCATCATCCATCTCTTAACTGTCCCATTTCCACTTGGTCACTTATTTATCCTGACTTTTCCATTCTCTCTATCATTACTTTGACCTTTAGCTTCTACTTTTCTGTTTACTTTGTGCTGCTTGCTTTGTCTCCTAAGCTCAGTTTTCTGATATCATTTTCTTCTTTGATTCATTCTTGTTTACTGAACAGACACAATTCAACTCAACATCAAGGACTTCCTAACGTGGCCAACCTTCCAAATATTATTCCTGAAAATTATGATAGCCTCTATACATGCAATTATTATACCATAATTATTTAATGCATGTGTCTGTTAACTCATTATGTCAAGGGATGCTTTCCTTTCCCTAACACTATCAAATCTACCCAATAAGTGAAAATGCTCTTCTTCTGTTGTGAAACTCCTCACACTTGGAATCTTCTACATGGCACACCCAGTTCACTTTCATGCTATGGTTATTTGTTTCTCACTTTGCTCATCTCCCTGCATGCAGCATCCCTCTCAATTGCTTTCACTTTTAATATAAAAATTGTATAACTTTTCTTCTTCTTTTTTTGGCAGAACTGAGGTTTGAGCTCAGAGCCTCACACTTGCAGGCATGTGCTCTACCACTGAGCCACTCTGCCTGCCCTTTTTTGTGTTGGGTTGTTTCGAGATAGGGTCTTTGCAAACTATTTCCTTGGGCTGGCTCTGAACTGTAATCTTCTCATCTGCCTCCTGAGTAGCTAGGATTACAGGTGTGGAGTGATCAGTGCTCAGGGTCTCACTATATTATAGCCCAGGTCGGCCTTAAAATTGCAACCTCCTGTCTCTGCTCTTTGAGTATTGAGATTACAGGCTATAACGCATTCGTTAATCCTAGGGTAAGCAATATGAAACAAAACTGATCCATCAGGAGAATTTTTTTTTTAATTACAGATTCCTAGGGGCTAGGGCCATAGCTCAAAGTACAGCACCTGTCTAGCAAGCTCGAGGCCATGAGTTCAAACCTCAGTGCCATAAATAAATAAATAATTACAGATTCCTAAACTCAGTCTCAGACATACTGAATCAGGGATTCAAGTACCAAGTAAATGGGAACCCACTCCAGATCAATTAGATCAAATCCTGGGGGAGGTAGGGGCAGGCATCTACAAAACTCTCTAGATGAGAGATGAACCAAGGTTGAGTACCAACACAGACCCTTCTGTATAAAAGTCACTGTACATATTGGCTGGAGAAAAACCTTCTAAGCATTAGGAATTCCTACTAAAACAGTTCATTCAGACATGAGGACAAGGAAGTTGAGAGGTGGGGGAGGTCTTTCCTGGCCTCACAAAGAAGAAAATACACATGCAAATTTGCATAAGGTCAATCTTGAATACTTATTTTAAATATTACTATGTGAATCTCTAGTGTCAAAATGTTAAATGGCAAGTGAATCCCACTGTCTTTTATTAATTCAAATGTGGCAGAATTTGTAATATTTATGTTACCACTTACTTCCAAAAGTAATGGTGGTAAATGAACATTCCTACTTGCAAGTGTATATTTTGATGCTGCAGCAAAATCTATGATAACCTCGCATTGAGTATTAACACTTATCCGCCACTTTTACTACTTGCAAGTTAGAATGGGGATAAAGAAAGATAGAAAGGCAAAATTGGAAAGAATGTGACATATCTAGATGAAAAAGAACATTTATATTTCTATAACTCATTCATCCTAAAAGGCCACAAAATCTCCCAAATTTGATTTCTTATGCACAACTGCCTACAAACAACATAAAAGCACCACTATGCCAGGTATGGTGGTGTACTTCTGTAATCCAACTATTCAGGAGGTGTAGCAGGAGATTGCAGTCCAGGCGGCCCAGGCAAAACCCATGAAACCCTATCTGAAAAATAAAGCAAAAAGGGCTCAGGACATGGCTCAAGTGGTAGAGTACCTGCTTAGCAAGCACGAAGCTTCTTAGCCCAAACATCGAATCCGAAAACAAAAATGAAACTAACCGAACAGCAACAAAAAACCCAGAGTATTTTGAATTCTACTTTTGTCTTCCAGCATCTGACAGAAAATTTCTTTCTTTTTAGAATTTTAATCACATACTACTTTATTTACAACATGATGACACTCATTTTGCTTAGAATGTACTATTTGTATCTAAATAAATATTAATAACATGTATTAATATTTCAAAAGGTACCCAAATAATATGATGAGAAGTAAATTTCCTTTTTATCCTGTATCTGCAGATTCCATCAGTACCAATTACTGTTCTGTTTTTTGCAGTACCATTTGTATTTGTTCCATATAGAATTATATAAAAGCATAGGTCTTTAAATAAAGTATCGAAAAAAAATCTCTTAATTTCCAAAGAATTATTTTTGTCTTTTAAAACCAATTTTTTTTAAGCAGTAATGAATAATAATCTGTAGGAATAACTAGGAAATAATTTTTTATGTATCTTTCATTTACTCATTTGCAGACTGGCCTAACGATAATCATACCCCATCAGTCCTATGGCATTTAACTAGTTTATTTACAGTTTATTTACAATGAGCACATTTCCCTATGTCCTAGACATTTTCATTTGTGCAAGAAACAGCACTGCATTTTCTACACACAATGACTTTTTGTAGGGCTTAAATCATTCCTTAGGTCTTACCTGCAATTTCTAGCACTTTGTTGTTGGCACTTGTCTTCTCTCAATAATCTGTTGGTAGAGTCAGCTCTCAACACACGCAAAGCTATTTCTTTATTTTCAGCTGTGATCGTTCCTGTGACACTCTACTACCAGCCCTGAAAAAACAACAGGATCCAAGGGTTAAATGGTAGCCTCCACAAGCATAGTTTAAGGTAGAACTGAAGAACATTTTTGAAGGGAAAGGTTAATAGAAAAAGATAAAAACATTTTAGATAGCAACTTCAGAAACTTCAAATGAGAGGGCTGAAGCAGCAGATGGTGACATTTATCTTTTATTCCCTGTGCTCTTCCTTTTCTTTCTAGTTTGTCCATATTATTTTGCAGCTCAACCAAGAAGCAAAACTGCAACGTTCCTCTATACTGCTGCGCCTTCCCTGCCTTTACACAAGAGTACTCAGTCAGCTGATATTGCAAAAAGAACTTTATATGGGCTGGGGATGTACTCATTGGAAGAGTGCGTGTGCCTAGCAGGGGCAAGGCCCTGGGGTCAATCCCGAATTACCTACCTCCCCCTCCCACCCCACCTTCCCTCACAAAAAACAAAAAGAAAAGAAAGATTTATTTTTGATTCAGGGTTTTGAAGGGCTAGGGAAGTCCAAGGATCAGGCAAGCTGGCATTCTGGAAGGGCTTCTTCCCCCACATGGGATGACATCAACATGGCAAGGACAGACCACAAAAGGAAATTACTTTGAAGAAGCCCAACATGGGGATGATGCACATTCATGATCCCAACCTATGTAACGCATAGGCTTTAGAGGTGGCCCTAAGCAAACAAACAATCAGACTATTATCTAAAACATAGAAAGCAGAAAAGGGCTGTGAGCATGGTTTAAGTGGTTTCAGAGTGCCTACATAGGCAAAAGTGTAAGGCCAAATTCAAACCTAGTACGGTCCAAAAAAAAAAAATCAATGAAGAAATGTGTTCAGAACTGGAGAAAAAACATGGAGTTTCTAGATTTGAACAGCAAATACACTGAATGAACAATCCTTAAATGTTCCAAGTAAACAAATGATTTCCAAACATTGGAAAATAGATGACTTTATTTGTAGAACTTTGGAAGGAAACAGAAAAGACTTAAGAGTAAAAAATGTAAGCAAAAAAATGATGAAAAACAATGAGGTAATATCAATTCTAGTATATTACTTGGTTCAGTTTACTGAACCACTATTTATGCTGTTTCCACTTTATTGAAAATATGAAAGAGTAATTTGCCAAAAAATAACAAATACTTAAGTGAGGAAAAGAAGGGTACATAAGACAGCAAATCCTGATCTATCACATTAAAAATCAACATATGATACTATAACTAACTGATCAGAAAGAGGCACATGTGCTGCTTATTTAGAAAAATTGGGATAATTAAGTTAATAAAATAGCTAAAAAGAATTTAAGGAGGTTAATTCTCTAAGAATGGAATTTAGGGTCAAGGGAAGGAGAGAGTGGAAGGTTGGACAAGATCCAGGAGTTGCCCCGTTGTCATAGGACTTTCAACCATTAGACTTTAAAAACTATACTTTGTAATATAAAAATTAATTTTAAAAAGAAGTGAAATAAAAAGTAAAAAAGGTCCCATTTTTAAATCTGAAGGAATGACAGAAATACATACCATTTATATAGCACGGCTTTAGTTAATGCCAGTCGCATATATGATGGTCCCGAGTAATTACCCCAAAGGGCCTAAGTGATATTTATAGCATCTGAGTTTGTAAAATATTGTTATGATTTTTTACAAATGTTGAAAACTGTCTAACAATGCATTCTTAGAATGCATCCACTGTTCAAGCAGTATATAAAATCACCTTTACAGAAGCTGGGACTGGTGACTCACGCCTTATAGTCCTAAGCTTACTTCAGGAAGCAGAGATCAGCAGATCAAGCTTGAAGCCAGCCTGGGCAAATAGTTCTCAAACCCTATCTCGAAACACACCCAAACACAAAAGGGCTGGTGATGGCTTCAAGTGGTTAAGAGCACCTGCCTAGGCAATTGTGAGGCTCTGAGTTCAAACTCCAGTACACCAAAAAAAAAAAAAAAAAAAAAAATCAAATCACCTAAGAGAAATGCAAAACTATTTCACAGTGTTCCAAAAATTAGCAATATTCAGAAATGACAGCAGTAATGCAGCAGAGCCTAAAAGCAATCTACAAGCTAACAACAGATAATTAAGCAATGCATGTCTGGAGACCCCTCTATGTCCATCTTATTTGGCTGAAGTCCCTCTTGCGGCTTACTCTGTCTACACCTGGAGCATTTCTCCCAAACAGATGGGTTCACCATCTGAACCTTTCGAGGAGAGGCACCAGTACCAAAACAGAATAGGTTCATGAATCCAACAATCCCCAGTGTCATCTTTAAAGGTTTTTGTACAAGGAACCAGATAAATAGCATTAGAACTAATTGCCTTCCAAATTCCTAAACAGTGTAATTATGTGAAAAAAAGATAAAGCACCAAAGCAAGTGGACTTGCTTACCTGTGGGGGATATGGACACCTGACAGGCACTGTCTGTTGTATTAAACATGCTGTCCTCCTGCTTCCTTGGATCGAAATGTATTCTATTGCGCAAAAATCCCTGGGTCCACTTTCACATCTACCTAGAACAAAGTTGTTGCCATAAAGTAAATTCTTACTTTCCATGAATACTTACATTAAATTTAATCAGAGACTGTTCAAATTAAAACAAACTGTTTGAGTTAGGCCATTAGACTGAGAAGAACAACCATAAACTCCTATCAATGGGATTTACTTAAAAAAACAAAAGGGCGGGGGGATACTTTCTTCTTTCATTTTTTGTTTGTGCTGGGATTGGATCTTCAGGCCTTATTCATGCTAGGCAAGGGAATTCTACCTCTGAGTTATGTCCCCAGGGCCAGAGGATGTTATTTTTTTTTTCTAACATTTTACTTTTAAAAGTGTTCCATTGTTTGATTATCCCACCAGGTGTATATTACATAGACATATTAAAATGTATATAAAATACACTACACAAGTATAACATTATTTTCATTACTCCTATGAATCATTTATTTCCCAGAATTTGCCTACTCAATTAAATTATCTTAATCCCTCAATCAAGACCTAGTGCTTTCACATGACTTGCAAACATGCAGCAAACAGGCAGCAAAAAACTTGTAGTTGCTTGATATTCTTACATTTCTCCACTCGGTGTTCAACAGGTGGACAGTCTACATGTGGGTTTCAAGCTTCTCACAGAGATGGACCAGAGGATGCGAGAATGGGGAGGGGAATCAGGGCAGTGTAGCCCAAGCGCTTTGACTCCGGGTCCCTGGGCGGGTTTGATCCCTGTAACTGTTAGTGAAGTGCGGACCTCATCACTCCACACTTCCCAGGCTCATTAACTTCTTTTTTTTTTTTTTTTGTCTTTTCTTTTTTTGGTGCTGGGATTGAAACCCAGGCCTCGCCGCATTTGCTTAGGCAAGCACGGTGTACCACTGAGCTACATCCCAAGACCCCAGGCTCATATCTTTTTTTTTGAAAAACCAAAGAAAAGAGAATTCTGGCAAGATGGCGTTGGTTTTTAGATTTACATTTTAAGTATATTAAGGGAATATATATGTTTATGTAGTTGAATTAGTGAGTTATGAAACTTGTGAAAAGGTTGTTAATTAGTATTTGCTGCAACTCTGCTTGAATATAAAACTATTGTTAAAGTAATAAGATCGACTCTGTGGTGTGTGTGTTGTGTGGTGTTGATGTGTATGTGTGTGTATGGTATGTGTTTAATAGTTGTGTTGAAGGTGGCCACAAAAAAGATGTGCTCATCTTTTAACTCCTGGAACCGTATTTGAAAAAAGGTTCATGCCAGATATTTGTTCAGTCAGATGAGATAATACGGTTATCCAGGATAGGCTTGAAAGAAGGACAAGTATCCGTATAAGAATAAATGGTCAAATGTCACAATGAACCACCCCCCACAAACTAAATATATGCTAATAAAAATGTTAAATTTTAAAAAAAGAAAGCGGTCTATGTCTCCTAGTTAGCGAATAGCCAGACCATTGTTGAATGTCAAAGTAGACTGGGTTTTTAAGCCAAAAGAGCACCTGAAGCCAGTAAAGAGCAAGGTTAGATACCACCCAGAGCCTTCAGAAGGGAGCATGGGCCTGTTTGACCATCTTAATGGTGATTACTAGTTTTCTATTAACTGTGAGAGAATAATTATTGTGTTTTTAAGGCCACTAAATTGTTATAATTTGTTTAATGGCAGCCTTTGGAAATGTGTGGTGTGTGTGTGTGTGTGTGGGTATGTGTGTGTGGTTTGGTGTGTGTGTATAAAATACTTGCCAAATATGCCTGTGCATGTAGTTTGGTCTGGAGTGTTCCTCCAGTGTTCCTTGTGGTTGAGGTCGTTGTCCCCAGCCCATGGCAACTAGTTGGGAAATGAGTGGAACCTTAGGGATGGGCATAGTGAAGGGAAGGCAGGTCATTGGGAGCTACCTTGGACCCTGAAAAGAGACAACTTGGACCACAGCCCCTCCTCTTTCTCTCTTTGGGCTTCCCCGCTGCATGAGGTAAAGCAAGTTCTTTGTACCACGTGGCTCCCTGCCGTGACATTATGCCTTTGTCACAGGCCCAAAAGCAATGAGGCCAATTGGCCATTGACTGGACCTCTAAAACCGTGAACCAAAATAAACCTTTCTCTCCTTTTAAAGTTGATTATCTCAGGTTTTGTCACAGTGACAGAAAGCTAACTAATTGCATTTCTGTTGTGTGAGAGGAGGAAACTAACATTTTGTTGCACATTCATTTATTAGTCGGATTTTACAGCATATTACTTTTTCGATTTTGATAAGTTACACTAATAAAGGGTTTTCATGGTTGGGAATCTTAATATATTCTGCCCAATGTTATAAAAAACTTAGCTAAATGGCTTTTTGGGAAGTGCTGAACTCAAAGAAACAATGACTTGATAATATACAAGAACTCTATATGTTAATTCTAAAGATGGGCTTTTCTTTAGAAAAAAGGGATGTATCCACTAAATTGAGTTCAATTTTTAGAATATGTAAACACAAATGGAATAAGTGGTAATGAGGTA